TAATTGTTGCTGCTGTCACCAGGAGAGCCCGCTATGACCAGCGCTATTGCTGCTGTCTCCGGGATTGCCTGCAGTGACCAGCATCGTTGCTGCTACCACCGGGACCTCCCGCTATGGCCAACATCCTCCTTCCAGGTGGGCAGCCTAGCCTCAGGGTGAACCTGCAGCAAAAGAGGGACACAATGGGCCACCGGAATCCCAGCTTCTCTGAGACAATCAGATGGGAACCCGGCTCTGCTGTTTGGTGGTTTTCAAACTGTCTACCTTACAGTTTGGGCTTCTCTTACCCTGGGTTCTCCTGGGGAACCACCGTGTATCAGCGGTGGACCAAGGTCAAGGACAGCTAGGCATTCCGGGGCTCAGGGTTCATCAGAAAACTGTAGACCTTCTAGGGTTTAGGGTTTGCCTGGTGGCAGACCCTCTAGCGGCCTAAGGTTTATGACTTGCAAGCTGTGAAAGGGTTTAAACTTTAAAGTTTATCAGGTACTAGATGTGCAAGGAGACAAGAGGAACAACTGATTTTAAGGTATGTTTTTGGGGCGGGGTACAACTGTGAGGGGGAGGGGACGGATTGTCGAATGGGCTTGACTGGAAGCCAATCCTTCCCAGTGGGAAGCAATCAAATGCTGTCAGGGCTCCCTGGGCCGTAACGCGGGGAAGTGTGGGTTGAATTTGTATTCCTTTCTGACTTGCCACTGTTGCCAGTGGAAAAGGAACCGGACTGTTGCTCCCCAGAAGGAGCCTTGTTTTTGTCAAAAAAGAAAAAAGAAAAAAAAAACAGGGACAGATTTACAAACATACCGAAGGGGTCAAAATCAGCTTGAAGCAAAAGGGAGTCTGTACGGGTAGCTTCCAACTTCTCGAAGGGCTCAAACAAAAGCAAGGCAAGTTCTGATTTAAAAAAAGGGGCAGAACCTTCCTTGGCTATCAACATGTCTGCATTACTCTGATGGTTCGTCATTGGACGGTGGAGAATGTGGGAGAATCAGCACAACTGTTCCTCAGAAAGCGCACGGTGCCCTGAAGCCCTCTGATAGCCTAGCACCAACCATCGACATGAACACAAATTCCCTATGTTGGACCAGAGAATTAATACGGGGGTTCCACATGGCATGAGGCTGACCATGGAAGCAACATAAGATCCGAATAGGGGAGGATGATCTGGGGAGAATTGAGGCAACAGATCAATACTAAGCATGGCTACGATCCGGACCCCCCGAAAGGGATCCGGACTCTACGGGATCTGGGACCCGGGATCCGGTACCACTTTCCGGTAAGCGGTTCGGATGGAGGGCCCCCAGGCCAACGGGCAAATTTTTTTTGGGCGGCCCAGGGTGTTTTTTCACACCCTGGGCCGCCCCAAAAAAATTGGCCCATATTTTTTTGGGGCCTTTGGCCACTGTCCGGAAGGGGCGGAAAATGTGTTGGTTCTTTTTTTTTTTTTGGTAATCGTAGGGGGGCAATTCGCGGCCGCCACTTTTCGAAGGCAGCAGTTCTTCCCCCGCGCCATTTTCGAAGGCATCTCCCCGTAGCGGCGACGTGCGCGTGCGGCAGTAGCAAGCAGCTGCGCGGCGACCAGCGCGTGGAGCGGCGCGTGCAGCAGGGTGAAGCAGCGAGAGTGACTCTCTCTCTCTCTCTCTCTCTCTCTCTCTCTCTCTCTCTCTCTCTCTCTCTCTCTCTCTCTCTCTCTCTCTCTCTC